CTTAAGCAGAATGGACTAGATTTTGAGTGTAGAAAGGTGGCCCCCCATCACAGACGTGAGCGAGACACGCAATACTACCACGCAACAGGCAGAACTGCAAACAGAACGTCACCAACGATCAAAATGTAGGCACGTGAAAGGACATTATTCAGAAAATGAAAAAGAGAAGCAGGAGACTGGGAGAAGATATACACAAAATATATATTTGCTAATGGACTTGAATTCAGAATGTGCAAAATATGCCTACAATTCACAGAGAGAATAAATGACCCCAACAGAACTAGTCGAAAGGCTTGAGTAGACAGTACACAGAGGAAGATGCTACTGGGCGCTCAGCACCATTTCTCATCAGGAAAGAGAACTCCCGCCACGGTGGGATGCCATGTCCCGCAGGAGGGCGACAGCCACAGAAGTGCACATGCACAGACGGTGAGCGTTGGGGAAGAATGGGCCCTGCTACGCTGCCGCGGGGGTGTGACTGGTGCAGCCCTGGTGGGAAGCAGTTTAAGTTAAGCTTAAATTTACCAAAGGACGCAACAGTGCCACACTTTGGACTCTATCCAAGGGAAACGAAGACATACATCCACATAAAACACTGAACATGAGTATTCACAGCAGCATTATTCATAACAGTCAAAATTTGAGACAGTCCAAACAGCTATGAATAAGTGCATGGATCGGCAATGGTAGTGTATTCATATAATGACATATTATTTAGTAATAAAAGGAACGGATGATGGGTGACATGCCACAGATTGTTTGAGCCTTAGAACCCCTAAGCCTAGTAAAAGGAAAGAAACATAAAAGACTGTAGATCACACGATTCCTTGCGTCCATGTGCATGAAATGTCCAGAGCACTTAAACTCATAGAAACAGAGATGAGTTTGGCATTTGTAGAGGAGAAGAGGACAACAGAGGAGAGGGAGCCACAGTTAGTGGACAGGAGGGGTCTTCCTGGGGTAACAGAATGCTCTGAAATGGATTTGTGGCCATGGTACACCGCCTGATGAATTTGTGCCCGACTATTGAGTTGTACACTCGGAATGGTTCACTGAGTAGTGTTTAAAATGTTTCCGTAAACTTAGTTTTAAAAGTGGAAAAATAAGGAGTAGAACAGATTTAACCATGAGGCCAGAGAAGAAAAAAAAAAAAAACTCCAGGCAGTGGTGTGCATTTCTAATACTGAGAGATTTTGCTGTAGTCAAAAAGCATGAGAATTAATTCAATATTGACATCTCAAAAAAATTAAAGCTACAATGCTATATCATCTTCCACCCACGATTGGCAAGCATGACCCGTGCTGACAGCAAGCGTGTGGAGC